GGCCAGCTTATAAGACTCCAATAGTTCGACAGTTCGCCAGATGTTCATCCCTGGCTTCACGAGATGTCTTTTCCTCGCTTCATTATCGCTAAGCTTAGCTTTAAGCCCTCGTCTATTTGAGGCCAACTTATAAGACTCCGATAGTTCGAGAGTTCGCCAGATGTTCATCCCTGCCTTGGCGAGATGTCTTTTCCTCGCCTCACTATTGTCGAGTTTAGCTCTAAGTCCTCGTCTATTTAAGGCCAGCTTATAAAACTTCGATAGTTCGACAGTTAGCCAAATGTTCATCCCTGGCTTCGCGAGATGTCTTTTCCTCGCTTCACTATCATCGAGCTTAGCTTTAAGCCCTCATCTACCTGAGGCCAACTTATAAAATTTCGATAGTTCGACACTTCGCCAGACATTTATCCCTGGCTTCGCGAGATGTGTTCTCCTCGCTTCACTATCGTCGATCAGAGTTCTACATCCCCTACATTCCAAGGCTGGTTATGGCTCCAATAGTTCGAGTTACTTGTGGGACGTCTATCCCCTGCCTCACCAAATGTCCTCAGCTTTACAAAGTTTAGACGCACCTGACGCGGAATCTCCTGTGGGTTATCGCCTCGGCCGCTGCGTTTCCTCCTAAGCTTTAGCCATTTCCCAATGCGTCGTCCCCTGTGGGTCAGCGCACCGGTGGTAGATGAGCTCCTCACTCAGCTTAACAAAGTTTAGACGCACCTGACGCGAAGTTCCCTGTGGGTCATCGTCTCCGTGGCTACGTTCCTTCTTAAGCTTTACAAAGTTATAGCTGTCTCCCAACGCGTCGTCCCCCTGTGGGTCAGCGCACCGATGGCAGATGAGCTTCTTCCTCAAGCAGCATCGAAGCTTCAGCGCCTCAGTCGAAGATGTGTCCTGATCTTCAGCTTCACAAGTTTTAGCATCTCCCACGCGTCGTCCTATGAGTTAGCGCTTCGATAGAGAGAGTTGAACCTACAACCGCAGCAGCAACCATAAACGGGTGATCTTAAAAAGTCAACAGCTAATATGCATCGGTATGGTTCAGTATCAGTACAGTTACTTACATCCAGAGCATTGCCTACGCTACTACATCCAGAGCATCCCTCTACTTCTATGTCCAGAGCATCGCCTCTGCCACTACATCCAAAGCATCGTCTCTACATCAACTTTATCATAGTAGCTTACATTTCAAGTCCGACTCGCATATAAATAATACGACTCGAACTTGGGGGACTGCATATCACTGCTAGCATATCATCACATTACTGCTTCCAAGTATGAATGTCAAATCACTGCTAGCATGTCATACATTATTTTCATCACAGTCAACACGTATGTCGTGTTATTATCATTTTCATTTTATTGTTAACATCATGTTATTTACTTCACTATAGCACTACTAATACACTGAGCTGTGCGATCACATGATTTACTATAATGCATGACAGACCCTCTGTACATATCTGATATGTCACACCTTATAATTATGAGCATTTGAAGGGATAAATGGACCCCAAATTTATTTGGTATATGTACTGTGGATATATTGTATTGTATTACAAGATTGGTTTAGTCCATATTACAAAGGGGATGCTGCCGAAATTTCGAAAAAATATATGCTGTATATCTTTCGAGGCAATTCGCGGTTCCTCACTTATTCTAACTCGCACACATTTTTTGAGGCAGTTCGTAAGTCCTCACTTATTGAAGCGATTCATATTTCTTGAGGCAATTCGTAAGTCCTCGTCTATTCGAGATCGATGTATATTTTCGAGGCAGTTTGTAGGTCCTCGCTTATTGGAGCTATCCATCTTTCTGAGGCAATCTGTAAGACCTCGCTTACTTGACAGTTTATATTTCAAGCCCGACCTGCATATAAATAATACGACTCGGACTTGAGGGATTACTGTTACGCCTATAAGTTACCACTTCATATTGGGTCATCTTATTAGACTCGGATGAGGCCCATTAGAATTGGGCCCCAAAGCCGAGGCTTTGACAAGGCCAGTCGAGGCGCCACCGAGGCCCTAAGGAGTTCAGCCGAGGCGCTCGTCGAAATGCCTATTATTATCTTCATATGATCATCTCCTTATTGGGCTTGGACTTCGGCCCACCAACCCGTTTGACCCATTTCACTTCCATTTCTCTATATATATGGATTCACTCACACAACTAAGGTATGTTCTACACTCTCTAACCAAACCCCCATCTCCATACTATTGTACTCTATATATCTATCTCAGTTTGACCGTTGACTTGACCGTCGAAGTGCAAACGATTGTCGGACATTTTTCTCGTCCGGCCGCCTTTGCCTCTTGACGGGGTGCTACTTGCGCAAGTTTCGAGGGGACGAGGTTAGAGAACCTGTTGGAACCATTTTTTGGAGGTCAACAATAGTTGTAATGGTGCTGTGGTTATACTTTTCAACAGCATTTTTTCACGACTATTGGTTTGTTGGCGTGTTGCCATTGTATTCAAGAAATCAGTTTGATTTTGCATTGGCTTGTGTACACGTTCGAAGATAGTATGATAATCCCCAGTATTGCATATTTTTTGGTTCTAAACATAAAAAGCATATTTGCATATTGCACGCATTGTATTTTTCAATTCAATATAGGTGTCGGTAAAATTTCAATAAAAAATGAAGTTACAAAACGAATAGGAAGATAATGAAATCGGATAGACTGAAGCGCGGATATTTTCTCTCTTCAAGAAGATTCAAGCCCTCTGCATTTGCCTAAAACACGGTGCAACAAAACGTCTTTATGACTTGTCTCCTTTAAGATACAATAGCCCGACTATTTGTCATATGGTTCAAACAAATTTTACATAAGTAGTTGAGCTCAAAACTCCATTAAAAGAAACACCCTTCTTCACTCAATAATCTCTCAAAAGAAATGAGTGAGAATGTAAGGAGAAAAGCTAAAAGAATCATGATTGCTGTGGTGGTGATGAATGACCTAGGAATGCTCCTATTTTATAGGTAAAAATAGGCAATCCAAAATTAAAAAAAAAAAGTCATAAACACATAAACTCTTTCACCTTTCATTTTCCAAAGCTCCAACCTCTTCACTTTCCAAATTCTGAAAATCTACAAACCTATTAAAAGAAAATATAATGAATGAATTTTAACATTAAATGCATCAACAATAGGTATTTCCTTCATTATTTCTTGATCATATTCACAACATTCTCCTCAAGGTCTCTTTAAAAAATTGGCAATATAACTGAAGACCTCTTCCTGCCAGCAGGGAAAATGAGATAACGAGAAACCATCAAATATCAGTTCATCTCCGATCAACAAAAACCTCATTGAGAAAAGGGGTACATAGATAATAACTCGACTCCCTTGGATGAGAGGTCATTTTAATCCGGTTGACTAAAGGGGATGAGCATCCTGGATATATGATTAAATTAATCCTTATCCAGTCTGTATGGGGCGCCTCACCTACCCCAGTGAGGATTAACGACGCTCATAACAAACCTAGGGTATCCATGTGAAATAGATATCAAACACACAGAATCCATACCTTCAGATTCATTAGAGAAGAATAAGATATTCTTGAAAAAACTTCAAACAAAACCCAAGATAAGTGAATAAGCATAACAGGAAATGAATCTTTGGAAGGTTTTTAGGAGCGAACAAGGAATTCCCAGGGCCAGCACAAGCAATGAAGCAAAGTGTTACATTTGCAATAACAGTTAGCAACTGGTTCGAGAGGATAATATTTATGCTGTCATTCAATACCTAGTTGAAGGATATAACAGTAAAGATACAAAATCAGGTTAATAGGTTATGTCACTGTACTAACCTATAAGACCGAAATCAAATTTGTAATTGCCTTCTCTAATACAAACTAAAGGGATGTCTCTAATTTAGCTTGTTGAAAGGAAAGAAGAAAATAAAGCTTCAGGGGATATAATCACAAATAATAGCTACCCTTTCCCCAGTAGAAGCTCCTGCACCTCGTCCAAGTAACTAACAAATATGTTACTGTATCTCGTCCAAGAAATGTATTCATGATTTCGCTTAACATGGCAGCAAGTACATGTTAAAACCTCCTATATGAGCTTTACATAAATTGAACTGCCCACATCATGGTAATCGTATTGATGGAAGCTCATTTGCCAGACACAAGCATTTTATGTAATGGTGATTTTGACTGCATTAGTGAACTTATTTCTTCTTCTTTGAAATGGCCAAGTGCACACATGTTTGGGCAATGAACCAATCTACAGTAAATCAATATACAAATTCCTAATTCCATTCCCTAATACAACTGAAGGGATGTCTCGAACTTTGTTGAAGGAAAGAATGAAACTAAAGCTTTTGGGTATAAACAATTTGTCCCTTAAAGAAAGGACAATGAATTCCCCAGTGGTTACTGCACTTCGTCCAAGTAAGGAATGCATATGGTTGTCCTTTTTATCTCTGTGCAGGAACATATACAAACCTCCAACACGCATATCTACATAATCCCAGGAAAGACAACAAATAGAGCTGGCCATTTCATTGCCATCAAACTCTTAGAAGCTCATTTGCTAGACGTAAGCATTTAAAGCAAAACTGTGATTTTGACTGCACTAGCTAAGCCTCCTACATTAATCAACTGCAGGATTGATGAAAATTAAACATCTTTTCATTGTCTGAAATGGCCAGGTACACATATTTTCCTATATACAGAAGATATCTTCCTTTCATGATTTCAAATCCATTTCCACCTCCTATTCTATTTCAACTAATGTTCTACAAATATGAATACCAAAGATCTGAAGAAGGAAACTCCAGCTAGAATGACTCATGCTATCTGGTCTCTGCATTCTGCTTTCAATCTTTGGTGCTGAATATATTGAAGTCTAGTTGTATGCATACACAAAATGTCTAATTTCAAAAGAGATATGGTCACCTTTACTCCAATTTCCATATTCTGAAAGCAAAAAGGGAAATACACAATGATACACTCCTCACCCAACTCTATCAGCTTATTTATGTATGTCAAATATAGCAACACTCAATTCAATCCATTCCTATTCATCATAGCTTCAATATATCGATAATACGATTTCCAAGTATCACAAAATCATCAGTAAATAAGATTGAAACAATCTACTAGGCATCAAAATTTACAAATATTGATGAAAACCATTAACTAGTATAACTATCAGATGTAATACAGTTCCTTAATCAAATAATAATACCTATCATCTCATATCCACATTCCCCATTGTTACGATGAAGGAAATACGTCCTTAACTGCAGAGGCGGCTGTCAAGTAATTTAACGTATTTCTCAGTGTCTCCTTCTCCCTCTTCAACCTGGTCGCAGTATCCTCCAACTCCAGCAATGCCTGCTGCTCTCTGGGTGCTCCCTCAAAAGTACTCGCCACGAAGAACGAAAAGGGAGTAGGGAAAAGATTCCTCCGCAAATCCTGAACCTCCTTTTCAGGCTTTCCATTCAACCTATTGGATAATCTAATCACATCCTTCATGTACATTTCCACCTCGTTCGCCAAGGCATCTAAGTCCTCCACCTCGCCATTCCCCGAGGGGCGGTCCTCAAGCCAAACCACCTCCGCCACTAAATAAGGCTTCGTTCGCACAAATTTGGTCACACGGAAACGCTCCTGCCCTTTACATATTAAAAAGAATCGATCATCCACAAGGCGCTCGTGCTTAATGACCTCCCCAACGCAGCCCACTTCCACCGTGCCGGTAGTGACGTCAGTGTAAATGACTCCGAACCGAAGGTCAGTCTGGAGGAGGGTGTGCATCATTATGCGGTACCGGAACTCGAAAATCTGTAAAGGGAGTATAGCCCCGGGAAAAAGAACCAGAGGCAGGGGAAACAATGGCAACTCCACTACATCATCGGATTTCGGGGAGTTAGTGTGGTGTTTTTCAGAAAATGAGGAAGCTGAGCAGCTAAGGGAGTTGGGTTTCCGCCGGCGATGAGAGAATGAGTGAATAGTAGTAAAAAATTTATCTGGGTTTTGGTTTAAGAGGTAATTAGAAGGATTTAAGAGAGATTTGTGGGAAATTATTGAAGAAGGAGAATGCAATAGTTGAGGCAAAGCCATTTCCGAATTTGTATTGAAGCAAACAGTGATTAAATACCAAATAGAGAGCTTTTAGAAAGAGAAAATGGGAACTGAAGAATTATTGATTGGACGATATTGAGGAACTGAGAGTGGAAATGTCTTAATCCGCATTAGCACATTGGATAATTAATGTAATTATCTGGAGTGGGGGGATTTGTAATGTATGGTGTGGTGTGGATAATGGAGAATAGGGTTGGAGGAGTTGAGATTTTTGTGTTTTGGGGGCGAAGGGATGTGGTTTTAAGGTATACACGTGGAAATGTGTTTATCTGATTCTGGACCTCAATAACGTGGGGTCTTTCTTTGGGCCAAATTTAAAAAAAATAAAATAAAAAAATAAAAAATTTACATGTCGAGAATTTTATTCGAGTTTCCTCATTCTGTTCACCTTCTCTGAAAGAAATTCTCCTACGACAAAATTTAGGGTAAATTATAGCCCTTGTTGAGTACCATTTTTTAAATAAATTTGTGTAAAAGATGAATACTTTTTTTAAAAATGTATGACTAAAAATTAAGAAAAACTTTGAATTTATGTATAAAATTATTTTATTAAGAGAATGTATGGTTAAAAAAATGAATTTGAGATTTCTTTTTTTTTTTTTTTTTTTTTTTTAAATAGGGCTCAATCGGGTGCTATAGAGATATCTTCGAGATTTTTCTAATAATTTCAACACCTCGCCTTCTGAAAGTTACACAAACTTATCTTATTTCAAATTTTTAATAACGCATACATGTTAAGAGATTTATGACAATTCAGAGGTACTTTTTTCCTCGAGTGTTAATGATACCAAAGTTTTGGGCTGCAGACCTACGATCATGAAGCAACCATGACTTTTAGAAGTTCCAAAGAACGTACTTGGAGACACGCATCTCAATTGGGGGAAAAAAAAGAATAATACTTCTTGTACATTTCATTTTGCATTGTGTTTGATATTGTATGCAAATTCAAATTGTCTTTGGTGGGATAGTGTGTTAAATTCAAAGACTATTCAATCACGTGCCGATACGTGGTACAATATCAAAGATGATGTAAAGCACAATGTACAAGTAGCATGATTCAAAAAAAAGGGATGAACACAGACAAGACCTTAGAATTTTATTACAAAAAGGCCAAGTAATTTATTCTCATAGTCCCTTCAATGTTTAAGTCACAAAAACAAATGAAGAGAATGTGTGTGTAAAACTATAATCCAATAATGAAAAACATACTTGAATAATGAATGAAAAGTATATATAAAACTTACTGTGTAATTCCATAAGAATTAGTACACGTGTAACATAAAAGGACTAGATATGGTAGGAATCCTGATGGTCTCAAAACTTCGATTATAGTTTAGGTACATAAATTAGAGTGGAGTGCTCGCATAAGGGTAGATCAAGGACTCGAGTCGATGCCTAATAGGAGACGTGGACCCCGAGCCCTTGCAGGTTATCTAGAAATAAGTGAAGGCGCCTCGAGGAATGACACTAAAAAGGAAGTCAATTAGAATTAAAAGGTATCGAAAAGTCTATGAAACACTATACAATTAGGGAATTCAACAACTCAAATATGGGTATAAAATTTCTGCAAAGTTTTAAGTAGGGAATCTCCACTAATATTCAATCCACAGAGTAGGTAAAATGGCCTTGCCTAAAATTGACCAGCACATTACACTTGGGCAAGATGAGTTGTCAACACGTGTCATATCACTTTTTATAATTTAAACAGTTTATAAATGTTTTCCAAATATGCTTTATGCGACATGTTGAAGGCAAAAAGTTACATTCAAAAAAATAGATGATTGTAATTGATGCTTGTATTGACTTAAAAATATAATTTCACGCTTTTGTATCAATTATAATAATTTCTAGATACTTATTTCAAATTGTCAAACGCGAAACGTTGTTGATTTTGACTAGAATCAAGAAGACTAATTGAAAACCATCACATGCTCTTTTCCCACGCTTTAGATAGTGGATTGAGAATTAAAGAAATAGAAGTGCATTACAACGTAGACGTGCCACTGCACAAGGATCATTGATACGTAATCTCGAATAATATTACGAATAATGTTATTTGTAGTCGTTCACTGCCTTAATTGTCATATGTGGCGTACATGTGACGGCTAGTGATTTAATATATTATTTTTTAATGTCTCATGCATCAAATTACAAGTCATCAAATATATACCACGTAAAATGATTATGATGGTAAGCATCTGTAAATAACATTGCTTCAATAATATAGTGTGCCCCATGCTAAGCTTTTTCTTGCTTTATTAATCATTCAAGTTACTATTATGCTGATAAAAATGCTTTAATGACAAGTGTAAAGAAATTATGGATGGTGAACCAGAGGAAGGAAAAAGCATTGGATGTGTGGGAAGTGTTGAAAAACTCGAGCTGGTTGCTTTATTTGATTCTTGGTTCCCATTCTTATCTTCTTTCTGTAATTTGAATCTAGAGTCATTGAAAATCTGCCGCTTCACAAAATAATCGAGTATTCTATATCCTTTTAATATTATGAAAAATTTTCAGACGTCGGATCAGATCAAGAAATAAAGTTAACCATAAATCTACGGTAAAGCAGACAACACGTTTCCCACACGCACCGACCACGGTAATGTTCCAGAATGATCCAAACACGATAGTAGTTTTGTCTGGCTTGCGATTATAATCGGACGGCTAATATTTGCTCTTATCCAGGCGCCACCACGTATGCCCCCCTCGAGAGCACAAGAAATTCAGAAATTACCTCTGCTCTTCGTTACCAATAAGTATTAAACAATAAATTTGATGACGTCGTTACATACGCATCCACTTTTTGGGTGGCAAGCTTGTAATTGAATGGAATAAATTGTACATCGTTGTAAATTCAGTTTGCGCCTTTTCCCTTTATAAGCACTCGTAGCACATCGGTTTCAGTACCTTCGACAAAGAGAGAGTTGAAATTCTTGAATTTTGGGTTTTTTTGTGAGAGGAAAAAAAGATGGCCGCAGAAGAGGGACAGGTTATCGGTTGCCACTCTGTTGATCATTGGAAGGAGAACTTAAACAAGGGTACCGAGAGCAAGAAATTGGTATGTAGTTAAAACACACCATTTCATTTTGTACTTTTTTTTTTTTTTTTTTGGCCATTTTGATTGATGATGAATAAATTGTTGTTATCATTTTAATTCATGTGAGCTTTTTTCCTCGTGGTTAGGTTTTTGCTTGGCCGATTTTTATTCTGTGGTTTCTTTTTTGTTAGTATTTCTTGTATTAGGGTTTTGAATGATCTGTTGATTTGCTTTTGATAATATGTATTTTTACTGGGTTTGAAGGATCGGGTATTTTAAATTATTCGTTAATTGGGTTTTGACTGTTCGTCACTCTTCGGATTTCCCTTTCCCTTTCCCTTTTTAGTTGGGACTTCTAATTGGAGTTCTTTGTTTCTTTTCATGAAAATGGAAGAATTTCTTGTCTTTGTTGATTTTCTTGGTCTATGGTATAGTAGTTTATCACGAAAACGGTTAATCAGAAAAACCAATGCATTTACACATTAGTTGAACAACTTGAGTGTCGTAACAATGTCTTACCTTCCGCCTGGAACGAAATAAATGAAGGAGAAATGTGCACACTTGTCAGTGTGGAAGTTTTATTTGGGGTGAATGGTATAAGAACGGAGTAGAGACTCATGGGGTACCATCCAGTTTTTTTCCGAAATTATAGAGATTTAGAGCAAACAATTTTAATCTTTGAGATGAAGTTTTCAATTTTGTATCTCAATTGTAGTTGTCGCTCCTTTCCAAGTATAAAATATCGTGTTTGCGCTTACTGGTAAGGTGATTCCTTGTTATTGGTGCATGCCCTTCCAATTAATATGCCATGTAAAATAGAGGAAAAAAGGAAGGTGTCGAGTCTTTCGTCTTGTTGAGCAATACAACATCTCAAGCATGGAACTTAAAGATTTCTAAATCCATCTCCAGCCTTTTCTTCTACCAATCCTTTTCAACAGTCGATCAAACTTGAGGTTCTTTGACATTCATAAAGGTCGACTTACTTTCAAGAGAAGACATTTCAAATCCAGGATCTTATAGTACTCTATGATTACAGTGTTCGGTGAGAGCAGTGATCTTACTTAGACACCAGACTTCACTTTATGGCATTGCTTCGTGCTGTTTAACACACTATTCTGCTTTAGTTAAAGAAAAAAATGTCATTATTAGTTATTACGGACTTCAGCTGTTTTTTTACCTTCGATATTTTTTCCAGCTGTTTTACTGTTGTGCATTCACCATGGATTTTAAAGGCATGAATCCCTTTTTCTCAATTAGGTGGTGGTCGATTTCACAGCTTCGTGGTGTGGGCCCTGCCGATTTATTGCCCCAATTTTGGCTGAGATTGCCAAGAAGATGCCACATGTTATTTTCTTGAAGGTGGATGTGGATGAACTAAAGGTACTCCACCGCATTTTTCTTTGTGGCACTTCATTAGTAGTTGATTATATTTTAGCTTTATTGTTGTTCGATTCCGAGGTTTCCGAGAAGATGCAAAATAAGTTGCTAATGTAGTAATTTCTTCCAGGATGTTGCTAAAGAGTACAATGTTGAGGCCATGCCCACGTTCGTGTTTCTCAAGGAAGGGAAAGAAGTGGATAGGCTCGTGGGTGCGAGGAAGGAAGATTTGCAGGCTACAATCACCAAGCATGCTACTGCTACTGCTACTGCTAGTGCTTGAGGTTTCTTTGTTAAGAAACATTTGGGCTTGTAATAATCTATAGTTTGTTAAGACTTATTATGACTGTTTTATTATGACCGTTTTAACTTTAGTGTGATGGTCTATCATTGTGAATGTAACGAAGTCTTATGATTTTCTCCTACTGCAGGGGAAATCTTAGTATGTTACCGTGTGTTTTATCGTGAATTGTGACTTGAAAACCATAGTTTCAGCATTTCAATATCTATTTGCAGTGTGAGAATAAGAGTTTAAATCCTATGAATAGTTTTAGCATGAATGTAGTTTCTTGTTAACCCTTTTAGAATAGGAGATTGAGAATTAAGAGGTTAAATACCGTGTGTAGTCACTAACAAAACATTAATTGATTCACGGCTTTGAAACTGCGGAGTCTCTGTCCATATCAAAACAACGTTTTGGTGATGCTTTTAAATGATTCGATTGCTTGAACGGAGCTCTGGATTTAAATCTTTCTGTGTCTTTTACGCTTCTCCAACACGTTCAAGGTGATGCGTGGTTTACAAAGTGATTGATGCGTCAGTTTTGAAGCAACGACTTCAAATTGGATCGTAACTTCTGAGTTTCTATTTTGGATTGGCAAATCATAACATTACGATGGTTATTGGGTGACATAATTGAGAATAACAAGTGAGCAGTTGCGATGAAATTTTTACACAATTAATGTAACTTAAATCATGACATTCATATTTTCATTCCTTGTCTATTCTGCCCTCAACATACTTCACCGTTGAATTAGACGCGATCATTGCACTTCACTAGAATTATAGTCGAAGTGTGTAATTAAAATGCACGTGGATGCAAGAGGTAATGACATGTTGACAACTAAATCTTGCTAAATTTAGAGATAAACGTAACATATTAATAAATTAGATATTAATGCCTATGTACTTTGCGATGAAATAGAACTAAAATATTATTTTTGTTAATATAAAATTAACATCTATTATATTAATATATATAGACCAAATATATATTTATAAGCGCAATTGACGATCAAACTAATAAAGGTATATTGAGAACATATTCAGAATTGCGTATGCTAAAGAAAACAAATTAAAATTGCAAATAATTGCAGAAAATTTTATACGAATTTTATTCCTATATGAGTGCTATTGTCGACAATTTTTTGTTCAAGTCAATGCTCAAACCTCGAACTTAAAGTCATTGTAAACATAGCCCAATTTGACGTTCTGGCCCAAAGTAGCACGGTGCATCTTTCCTCCAGTTCAGTTTGGATATTGGGCCCAATAAGGCTGATTAGACCCATATCAATTTACAAATCGGATAAACTCCGACGTGGCACAATAAAATTGGCCCATCGTCCCCATATCTCGAACGTAGGTGATCTCTGCATTTCTTTGTGGCTCAGCAAAATCTTCTGCAGATTATAGAAAACACAAAAAAAAAAAAAAAAAAAAAAAGAAAAAAAGGGGGGGAAAAAAAAAAAAAAAAAAAAAAACTCTCCAGTGGTGAGTATAGTTCTTCCCTGCAGAACCATAACTCCGAAATTCTCAGAAATTTCACACACCAGCGAAACCCAAGTGATACACCTTATTATTCATCTATACCCGAGCATTATCCTCGATGATTGGAAATAACTCCCTCACCATATTGCAGCTTGATGTCCTCGAGCATTGTCCTCGATGACAATGCTCGAGGATGGGCAATCGTGTGACGACGATGTTGTACGCCTGACGTCCTCGGGATATGATGTCCTCAGGGATTCATCTCCTCGAGCTTCTTGGCTTGTGTTGAACCAATAGGATTTCTATCTACTTGGAACTCTAACTATGGACTACTATTTCGATACTTGACCCTGATAAGGACTCTATCTTAAGCATAATTTTGGTATTTGTCCAACTCCTTAATTGTACAGGACTCCAACAGATAAGGACATCTAGTTGGTTGAGTCCCACTAGGAGAATGTCGCTTACTACTATAAATACAGAACCTTGAGCCATTATTCAGGTCCGTTTTCATTATTCTCCAGTTTATAGCCTCACGCATATAAATCCCTTTCTGACTTAAGTATCGGAGGGGCGACGAGAACATACCTCGTTGCCTTTATTTCAGGTACCGGAAGACTACGATCGTACTTAATCAAGATCATCAAGCTCGAAAAATTAACAGGCACGATTTTTGGTAGCATCACCAGGGTTTCGTTAAAAAATGCCCATCCAAAAATCAGACTCAAAAGTAGATGCGCGCTTGAAGAATCTCCGCAAAATGGGCGCCATGGTGGAGCCATAGCCTCTTTAGACTCCACAGTCCAATGCGGATCTATGGCAAGGCTCAAAACTCTTTCACACCTGATTGACTCTAGTTCGCTTGACTTATGTTATAAGCTACCTGGCAATGTAAGGAAATTGCTTAAAGAATCAGACCCTGTTGTTGAAACCATGTTAGTATGTTAGTGTGGTCACTGGAAAATGCATTTGTAGTGTTCGATGCAATGAGAGACAGGAATTTGTATGTGTGGTCTGCGATAATTGGGGCATGCTAGAGGGAGAGGGAGAGAGAGCGGGTGAAGGTGTGTTACTTTTTTATTGATGATGGGGATTGATAATATTGTTCCGATTGACTTTTGTTTCCCAAGATTTTAGAAGCTTGTGGGAACTGTGGTGATATGGAGACGGGGAGATTGATTCCGGCGAAGTTATTGGGTGGGATGAGGCCATCTTCAACGTTGCACCAAAATTTGCACCATTTTGTATCAAATTTTATACCAAACCAAAATTTTTCTCCAACCATTACACCAAAATTTATATCAAATAAACAATATTTTATTAATTTATTCATTCTTTTGACTTTTGTCAATATATTTATTTAAAAAAATTATTTATTTATTTATTTTATAACTATATATATTACTAAATCATCACTTCATTAAATTAACAAATATATTGATTACTAAATTATTTACGTGTTTTATATATTATGTTAAATTGACAAAAATAATTGATTATATTATTAATTTATGATAAACAATTACGTTAAATTAAACTTTAAATGTAAACTTTACGAATTAAACTTTGCGTTAAATTAACAATTATGTTAATTATTATTGATTATATTATTAAAAATAATAAACGTTAATAATATAAGTAATAGTGTAATTAAATATTATTATTATTGTCATCATCATCACCATTATTATTATTATTATAGAATGAAAATGACAAAAATACTCTTAACCATTATCTTTGAAAATGAAAAAATAATGTCAAAACGGACATTGCAGCATTTGGTGCAAAAAATGGTGTAATGAATTCAGTTTGCACCATTTTTGGTGCAAAATGATGTAAAATTTGGTGTTGCATTAGAGTAACTTTGCACCAAAAAATGGTGCAATGATGTTAGCATTGGAGTTGCCCTGAATAGTCAAGTTCGCGTGAGTAAATGATGGTGGTCGAACTCAGCAAAGAGATTTTTCAAAGGAATGAAGGTGAAGGGTACAGTTACTTGAAATGCAATCAGCACTGGTTATGGTCAGGATGCGCATATTGTTTGATTTGATGCGTGGAGAAGGTGCTTAGCCTGGCGTGGTCGCTTGGAATATATTGACTTTTAGATTTTACAATTGATTGGGGAAGTTTGATATTGCCATGGAACTGATAAAGGAGATGGAGAATTGTGGAATCGTGCTAGATGGTTTTACTTGGGCTAGCGTGATTTCGGGGTTTGTACAAAATAATAGGATGTTGGAGGCGTTGGAATTGTTCAGCGAGGTGAATGTTTCTGGGGTTGGACCAAATGATGTTAGACTCATTATTGCTATCGCAGCTTGCACATCTTTGAAAAATATAAGGAAATGGAGGGAAATTCATCTGGTTTCCATGAAGGTGGGATATGACGAAAATTTATTCTATTTGAAATGATTTCGGAGTAGGATGTCTGTACTTGGAATTCGATGATTGGTTGATATTGCCAAGTTGGATACTGTGGTAAAGCCATGATCTCTTTATGAAAATGCGGGAATCGGAAGTATTAACAAATGCCATTACATGGAATGTGATTATTGTAGGTTATATTCAAAGTGGAGATTGGGATCAAGCTATGGATCTTTTTCAAAGGATGGAGGTATTAAGCATGACACTGTATCACGAAATGCTCTTGTTGCTGGCTACTTGCAGCATGGACAGAAAGATATATGTTTGGGTTGTGATGCCAAAAAGCCTAGACTAAATAATTAGGGGCGATGATGAAATATTTGGGCTCGACCCATTAAAACTATACCATTAACCATTGCCCAATAACTCAAGTGACCCATTGACCCGAGCCCAATATACGTGTCACGTATGCTGCTCCAGACCATTGATCATCTCCTAAAATCAACGGTGCTGCCCTCTTGATGTAAATGGGACTCTAGTGGGTGCCCTAGACACATCTTTCATTCTTGAGTTTTCTAGAAACCTCTGGATTCTCTCTGAGTCGTTTGGTTTTCCTTCGTGTTCTTTATTCTCTTCTCTGGAGCTTCTAGTTTTAGATTTTAGATGTAAAATTGTTGAGTCTTTGTGATTCTGGTAGTGAAGAAAATCGTTGACGTCTGTGTGGTGTTATTTTTGGTTTGTTGAAGTAGCTGTTACTCGTGTATTGAGGCTTAGGGTTTGGTCTTATACTTGAACAGACAGGTACACTGATCCGAGCCATAGGTTTTTTCAGATTCTTGATGTAAATGATTGATTCTAGGTTGTGAATTTGAAGAAGAACTTTATATTTTTTGTTGTTCTTGGTTATTCGATTTCTTGAACTAACAATATAGCATTGGATATCTATCGGCATGCAGTCTTTTAATGTAAAACTCATTTCTATTATTGTTTTGTGCATCTTACCTGCATGTGCAAATTTAAATGCAGCGAATAACGTGAAAGAGATCCATGGTTATGCCCTATGTAGCAATTCAGAGTCTGAGCTTGCAATTGAAAATTCCCTAATGGACACTTATTCCAAGTCGGGGAACATAATTTATTCAAAAGCCTTGTTTAATGAAATGTCAACCAAAGATATCATCACCTAGAACACAATAATTGCTGGTTATGGTCAAACTAAGAAGGTTGATGAAGGGAAACGTCTTTTCTCTAGCATGCCTGAGTATTATCATGTTTTACCTTATCTAGATCATTATGCAGCCATGGTAAATTTACTTGGTTATTCAGAGAAGCTTGCTAAAGCATTTAAGTTCATCAAGATATGGCCGTGGAACCTGATGTCCCATCTGGTATGCCTTTCTAACTGCGTGT